TGAGTGAGTGCCTACTGCTGAAAAGGAGAGGGGTGGAATTCCTCAACTCCTCTGCTGATCTCCTTCACTGAGGAAGGAACACAGCCATGACACTGCTAAAAAATGTCAAGAGCGGTGCCAAAAGGACAAAGTCCCTTAAATGCTAAGCAAGCCAGATATTCCTTAGATGCAGCATGCCACCCACAGAGCCAGAGTGCTCTGTGCATCTGTACAGACATCTGTTCCATGTGAAATTCTGTGTAGATTCTTGTGACAAGACATCACAACTGTAGCAAAAGATTCTAGACAAGATCGCTTTTGATGGAATACACCCATTTTGACATGGTATGACATAAGTGTCATTATCAAAATTGGACAGAGGGACATAGTTTCCTGTCAGTGCAATTCCAAAAAGGTGAGCACCCCATCAAGCCAGTCTAGTCATATTTCTGTTAAGATGGGTCATGGTGAAAACAGTCCACCAATTTAGAAATTCCTTCTCATAGGGGAAGAGATCAGACACACACAGATGAGACCCAGGACACTGCAAAGTGCTTCCATTCCATATAGAGCAATGTCTCAAAAAGCAGGTGTAATGGAAAGGTCTTCACTATTGTAGGAGCCCTAAAAGGCTCAAGACCTGGAACTGCTAAGACTACTCTTGTGGAGATGGTAGGTGCCCCAGAAGCAGGAAGGCTAGACTGCAGGGGCTCTGATCTGAAGATGAAGGGCCTGATCTGCCCTAAGGATTCAGAAGAGTCAGACATAAAGGGGGGAGCTATTAGAGCATGCTTAGAGAACCTTTGCAGACAGGGTGCCCCATAAAATGAGCACACACGGCCGACATTTCATTAATGGTGAACATGGAGGTCCCTGTGGGAGGACTCAACCAATTTAGGCCCTTCAGGAGTCAAACTGAAGCAGCACTGAAACCCTTAGTGTAATGTAAGTTGGAGGCACCTTGGAAAGCAGGACTGTGCCTCAGGGGTCTAGGATCCAACATAATGCACCACAAGAAGGGGGGCAACATAGCTCGGGTTATAAGACCAGACCTTGACCTCTAATATATACCATTTCCCAGAAAATAAGACCTACCACGAAAATAAGACCTAGTATTTTTTTGGGAATAGCTAAAGTAGAAGACCTACCCCAAAAATAAGACCTAGTTGTGATCAGGGCTTTTTGTCAGCCGGAAAGCCATTCCGCCACCTCCAGCACTGTGCACACCAATATCTACTGTCTCTTAAAAACACAGAATTGCGGCTTTTGTGTTTGCAAGAGACACTCCCACTTGTCCATGACAGCATCATCTGGCTCACACAGAACCTCCCTACCTCTGTACTCGCTGTGGGACAGTATGCTTAGGGGCGGGGCATCTTATCCTGCAGCCTAATGCATGGACGCCAATGCCCCAGGGGTGATCGCCAGCCAATGGGGAAGAGGCAGAGCGGTGAGTGCGCTTGGTGCACTGTGTGGGAAGACAGGACCCGAAAAGGGAGTTACTATAGAGAGGGGTCGGCTGCTGGCAGCTGTGTTTTGCAAAGCTAAACCATATGAGGGCAGTGGAGGGGGAGATGTGCAAAGGTGAGCTGCAGTCAGGTGTTGCAGAGGTAAACTGACAGGTGAATTGCAGATAGGGTTGCATAGGTGAGCGGTGGCTGAGGGGGTGCAGAGGTAAGCCGAGTTGCAACCCAGCTCTGCACCCCCCAACCCCAGCTTGCCTCTGCAACACCTGACTGCAGCTCACAACGGTCATCAGCCGGCAATCTCCATAGTAACCCTCATCCACAACTGCCCGCAGCTCACCTCTGCACCCCATGTCCACACCTGTACATTAAAAAAAATAAGACCTACCACGAAAATAAGACCTAGTGTGTTTTTTTGAGCCAAAAAAAAATATAAGACCGTGTCTTATTTTCGGGGAAACACAGTATATGCTAGTAGTAGGAGAGGGTCAGGAGGTCAAACCTGACCCAAGTCACATTCGTAAAGGTACTTACGCAACCCTGCTTGGCTAAGAAATACTAATAGCTGCATAGGGAGACCAGTTCAGCAGAAATGTAGAAGTAATTGAGAAAAAAAACACAAAACAAAAAGGCAGCTAGCAAAAAAGTTGAATTGCTCCCTGCAGTGCAAGAAAATACATTCATTCTCCTAGGACACATGAAGAAAAAACAACCCCCCCCCCCCCCCCCCCAAAAAAAAAAAAAAAAAAACACACTGGGAGTAGGAAGGGCTACACTGGACTGCCCCAGTTTTTTTTCTGTTTGCAAGTGGTCTGTCATACTGTAGGTGGTATATAACCTGTCTGTATCTGAATTCCTGTGTCCCTTAATGAATGAGAAAATAAATCATCAATACAGCCCCTAGCTTCCAAGGATTTATAATTCTTTTCAACCAAATTGTGTAATTTAAAAACCTCTATTAGACTGCATAGCTAGGAAGACTACACTATTTCCTGCTTCAAATGCAATGTCCAGAATTTATACAGCGTGTCTGAGCTTTCAAACAACGGGACGGAGAACTAAAATTACAAACTGCAGAGCTCAGTGAAGAGAGCTGATTGGAAGAAAGGAACACCCCTCCTTCACACAGCACACAGGAAGAGAGCTGAGGCGGTCAATCACAGTCTGTGTGCCAGAGGTCCCTTCCGTCACCTTTTTTTCCCTTGGTGTCAAGAAAACTTGTCAAAAGTGATTCATGCCAATAGAGGAATGAAACAGACAGAAATTAAACTTATCACTAGTACACACAAAGAGAATATCCTACAAATTATTATTTCGATTTTTTTTGCGTTCTAGTCTCACTGAAAACAAATAGGTTACTAAAGTTGTGAAAAGTCTCATAAGACAGACTACAACCTTGGAAGTGATCTATTGCATTGTAATGTACACCGCTCATAAAAATTAAAGGAACACTGAATTCAGAGTATAGCATCAAGTCAAGTAAACTCCTGGGATATTGATCTGCTCAGTTAAGTAGCAGAGGAGGTTGTTAATCAGTTTCAGCTGCTTTGGGGTTAATGAAATTACCAGGTGCACTAGATGGGCAACAATGAAACGACCCCCAAATTAGGAATGGTTTTACAGGTGGTGGCCACTGATATTTTTTTTCCTACTCATCTTTTATGTTTTTCACTAGTTTTGCATTTGGCGAGGGTCAGTGTCACTAATGATAGCATGAGGTGATACCTGGACCCCACAGAGGTTGCACAGGCAGTACAACTCCTCCAGGATGGCAGATCAATACATGCCATTGCCAGAAGGTTTGCTGTGTCTCCCAGCACAGTCTTGAGCAAGGAGGAGATTCCAGGAGACAGGCAGTTACTCTAGGAGAGCAGGACAGGGCCAAAGAAGGTCCTTTATCCATCAGCAGGACCGGTATCTGCTCCTTTGTGCAAGGAGGAACAGGATGAACACTGCCAGAGCCCTACAAAATGACCTCCAGCAGCCCAATTGTGTGAATGTCTCTGACCGAACAATCAGAAACAGGCTTCATGAGGGTGGCCTGAGGGCCCAACGCCCTCTAGTGCTCACTGCCTGGCACCATAGAGCTTGATTGACATTTGCCACTGAACACCAGAAGTGGCAGGTCTGCCACTGGAGCCCTGTGCTTTTTACAGTTGAGATCAGGTTCACCCTGAACACATGACAGGCGTGAAAGGGTCTAGAGAAGCCATGGAGAACGTTATGCTGCCTGTAACATCGTTCAGCATGACCGTTTTGGTGGTCAGTGTTGGTCTGGGGAGGCATATCCATGGAGGGACACAGAGACCTCTACATGCTAGACAATGGCCCCCTGACTGCCATTAGGTATCGGGATAAAATAACTGGACCCACTCTCAGACCCTACGCTGGTGCAGTTGGTCCTGGGTTCCTTTCGGGTGAACGAAAATGCCTGGCCTCATGTGGCAAGAGTATGCAGGCAGTTCCTGGAGGATTAAAGAATTGATACCATTGAATGGCCCCCACACTTAACTGACCTAATTCCAATAGAACACCTCTGTGATATCATGTTTTATTCCATCCGACGCCGAGAGGTTGCACCTCTGACTGTCCAGGAGCTCAGTGATGCCCTGGTCCAGATCTGGGAGGAAATACCCCAGGAGCATGTGGGGACCATTTGAGTTGGTGCAATGAAATTTCAGCAAAATGAACTAGCCTGCTGCATCATTTTATCACTTTGATTTTCAGGGTGTCTTTGAATTCAGTCCTCTGTAGGTTGATAATTTTAATTTCCATCAAAAGATGGGACATCCTTACGTTCCTAACACATTACCCAGTCCAGATCAGTATAGATATCCAGAATATTTTTCCCCATTGAGATCTGATATGGTTTTAAAAAAGTGTTCCTTTAATTTTTTTGAGCAGTGTACTCTTTTGTTTCTGAGTATGCGAGGTTTTGGTCACTAGATATTTTTGTACAAATACTATACTAATTAAACGAAAATCATTTGTTCTGTTCTCTTACAAGAAAAATTTTAATGCTTGTCCCTCCAGGATATTTTTGCATAAACGGTTGTGATCGGCTCTCGAAAGCTGTGTACTAATGTGTAGATTATCGTACGATCGCTCCAAATGCACTATATTGTCCGATATTCTCATCGTGTGTGCTAGGCATTCGAGATCCTAATTGAGACCAGTACATGCTAAAGAGGGATATGCTTTGTTTATATTTAATGCCTGAGGTTTACAACCACTTTAATCTAGAACTATCTAAACTAATTCTGTCTATTCTTAATATACATAATTTTATGAAAGTTTCATCTGCTATATTAATTGGATTCCCTTGAAAAATACCACAACAAAGTCTTTAAAAGTTTAAAGCAGAAGTATAGTTTTAACAAAGTGTTAACACTCTTGCCCCCAGCCCATCAGCTCAACTATGACGTGTAGCATGCTGTGGTACACCTCTGTTGATACTTCAAGGCCCTTACAGGGTTAAAAGGCTGAGTGGAACCGTTTAACCTGTCTCACATCTAGCAAATATGCACAAGCAGACATAACCAAATTTTAACTGACCTCAAAAATGGAAGAGTCCTCAATGAGATTAGGAGCATCTGCAGACAAAATACCATGTGTGGCCATTACATATATCTTGTAAGCTCCACGCTCCTTAAGGATTTCTGCTGCAGCCACAAAGCTTTCTACCTCATCAATGATGTCATCCTATTAGGGAAGAAGAAAAAAAGAAGATTAAAATGTACATACAGCCAAAATGTTTTCTGCCTTTTCGTTTTGAATAGAGTGGGAAAGGGTTAGAACTCCCTGTGCCCCCGCTTGTGAGATTCACACTCTCTCTCTGTCCTTAGAACCTTTGTCACTAGGGCTGAAAATAATTAAAAATGCAAATATTTTGAATAGGTTTCAGTAACGTGAAGAAAAAGTCTTCCACTCAAGACACATTCTAACGGTCTTGGGATACTCAGTCCCTGCTGTGTCAACAGGACATAAAGGGATATTTCCCTAAAGGGACATAAAAACAAAAAATAAAACACACACACACACACACAAGAAAAACATGAAACATCAAATTTCTTACCACTATGATAGCAATACGTCCCCCAACGTCGCCTACCACGCTAATGGGCGGCTTTTCCTTCGCTATCATCACTTGAGGGGAAAAACAGAAAGATAAAACAGTTAGCTGTATTTTTACTATATGGACCACTGAGTGTGCACAAAATCACTTGCAAAGTGAAAGACTAGATAAATGTGAAAGCTGTGTCAGCCAACAAATCTGTCACAGCAACATCTTCCATTCAAGCATGCTGGAGAGAATTCACATTACATGCTAGGTGGTGTCCACATTACATAAGACTCCTGCACTGTGCCAACTGAAATCTTGAAAATCAGCAATTTTATTTTCCTTAGTAAAATACATGCTCAGGAATGACATGAAGATTGCTGAAGAAGTTTACTTCAAACCACAATATTCCCTAATTGATACCCAAGGCCCCTGGGGCAAGCTCCCTTTAGATCAGAAGGGGATCTGGCTGCTGATCCCCGGCTGATGACAGAGTGGGCAGATGACAGGTCTGTGCTCAGTTTACGCAAAGCAGACACAGACCAAGCCAGCACTGCTCTATGGGTGGTCAGGTGTAAACGAACTCCCTTGTGCATTTACACCTGACTGCCCTCCGATCTGATCTGTCTAGATGGAGGGGTGTAAACTGACTTGTATCCATTTACACCCACCTACCTCCAATCCAATCTGGTCCTAAAAAAAAAAACCCACAGGGATCCATCACCCTCTATCTAGGTCGCTGGTCCATAGGGGTAAAGGAGGGTCCGATTGGGTCCGCCTGAAAATTTGACAGTTAGACCTGATCAGACCCTTCGTGTGAAAGGGGCCTAAAGCTTAGACTGTGTTGTCTGCAAGTGGGTTGGGCGGATGTTCTTGAATGCTCTACTATTGTAGAAGCCTATAACCCACCGTCTATGAACTTGATTCTTAGACCATGGGCTATATGTTACTACCTTAAAGTGGTTGGAAACCCTTACATATACCCAGTGAAGTGACTAGCCTCAGTTGATAGAGATGAAACAAATCTTCCTACATAAGTTCTTCCTGTTTATCTGCAGTCTTCACACCCATACAGCTGTTCAAAGTTCAGAATTTATACAACTTGTCTGAGCTTCCAGAAAGCAGAGGGTAGTGAGCTACACTCTGCAGAACTCAGCAAGTGCTTTCTTTTGTGTGCTGTCCATTATTTGTTCTATTTTTTTTCATTTTAAAAAAGATCTTGCCGAGAGCAACAACAAATATGGTGCCAGTAATTGTTTTAAAGAGGGCTGTGTAGGGCACAAGCCTGTAAAGGGACTATAATAGCAGTGATCCTTAGCAGGCTTTTGCAATGAGTCTCCAGTCTCTGACAGTCTCCTGCAGGATATCCCTAGTCACCAACCATACCTGTAGTTTGCCTGCAGTATTTTATCTCTTGTAGCCTGCCCATAGTCGCTAATATGTGGAGTCTGAGAGTCTTGTGCATCATTGCATCCACTAAACATTACACAATTTATTGTCGATCTAAAGGATTGCACTGGGGCCAACTAAATTGCGTAAAACCACTGCCTGTACCACTGCATAGGTCATATATTAATTTCATTAACCACACCTTGGTCAATAAACCATTTAATAAAGTTGACAATTTAACATGTTATATTTATGGTTTCTTGATTAAGACAGTCTTTGACTCTGACTTGGGTAATAAATGGATTATATTTTAGGAGCCATTTGTGCAAAGACACCGAAAAGTCAAAAAGGTTTACAAACATTTTGTCCTAAATAGATGCACATGAATGGTACTAATAGGTTCATTGCGAGTTCCCAAAATTTTCCCTATGTGATGGACTGCATGACTAAGGATTTTGTGAGCTCAGTTGGAGGGAAGAAAAAAAGTAGAAGAAAAAAGCAATGATTGCTCTATTAGAATAGGTCTCTGCTACTTGTATTAATGTGGTTACAGCAGTTCAGTGTTTGACAGACTGAATATTTACGACATTAGGATGCGAGTTAGAGCACACAGAATTCAATGCAGCACTGCAAGACACTTTAAATGCATTCCTATAGCAGACACACAGCAAAAAGCATAACACGTTCCATACTTGGAAGCTCAATGCCTGGGTACAGGGGCTGCCGTTTGCCTGATAGCAAAAGCACAGGAAGCATGTAAGCAGACATGTTAACCCCTCCCGTTGGAAGTAAATCCAGTTCTTAACATCCTTCTATACATACAGGGATTACAGCATGGTGCATTCAACAACCACATTATAAAAGTGCTATCTAAACTGGTGAAGCAACAAAACATTTGTCACTTTGACACAACTTAAATCTGTTCATCAAAGCACTCTAGAAAATAAACGGATTCTGCTCTTTGTGAGTTGACCCACCCACATTCCATCATTCAAAAGCAGATATTTCCTTTACTCATTGACAGACTCAAAGAATTCACATTCTTATAATTATTTTACAGTACATTTATCATGCAACTGCCTTGGACTTCAGCAACTTCTCTCATCTTATCGTCCTTTGTATTTGCACACCTAAATATAACACAACTTGAATATATGTGCATCTATGGCTAGAGTTAAAGATATTTTGACTTGCCTGTACATTTCACATCTTGGAGTACAGTACAGAACACAGGCAAAGTATTCATAGAAATTGGGTTATAGGCTTGCTCCTTCAGGTGATTGGACACTGGCCAGCTTTTGAGGACGTACCCACTGGGCACCTTTCCTATAAACCTAAACCTTGAGTCCTTCAGTTTGCAGCAAGGAATGCAGAACCACCATGGAATGGAAGGGGGGAGTTCATGTGTTCTGTACTGTCCCTCCTACATATGGAATTATAGGCAAGTCAAAGTTCCTCTTGTCTTAATTATACAGTACAGGACACAGGCAAACTATTAATAAACTCGGACAACCCCAAGCAAACGGATGTGAAGGAAAATAGAACTGTGCCAACAAGGCTCAACAGACCAAACTTCAGAGTTTTACAGCCTTTTAAAACCTTGAAAATAAAAGAAAAAGAGCGCACATCCACCCTAGTGTGATACTGTTCAATTGATAGCAATAGGCAAAAAGCTTCAATCATTCCACTCACATTTTGTAGCAAATATGTCAGCATGTAAATGGTCTCGACCACTTCTCCTGGATCGCTGCTGTAAGAACTGGGCAATAGGTGTGTAACAAGCTAGCTAGCTGACAACTAGAGATCCCAGCTCTGACACACCGCTGTCCATGGGATATCTACTGGGCCAGTGGTAGATCGCGCAAGGTACAGCCCATGGATGGTGGTATCTGACATACTGGGTTGAATGCGTCTGTGGCAGCTGGGATAGATTGCTTTCCAGTTGTCCACTACTGGGATGTGGACTGCAGAGAACTCTGAACAGTGAGTTTCCATTCAAATGGATCTGACTTACTTCCTTTAGGGCTCAAGACTCTTTTTTTGCCCCCTTGGTGGTTAATGTAGGCCCACAACAGTAGCACTGTCTGATTGCACCCTGCTTGGTTGTCCCTGCAGAAGCCATTTTTTTTTTTATAACTACATTTTTATTTAAGCAAAAGCTTATCATGACAAAACATCAGCGTGGTATGTACAAAATTAATCATATATCAATACTTAAGTGTAGGCACTCTGGATCATCTATGGCTTGCCTTAGTCATCAAATTTCCTTTCCTGCAACCTACAGCGCTGTAATCTGCTGGAAAGGAAGCCTTCCCTGCCAGCAGAACATGATCACTGCCCGGCAACAATCATGCAAAAAAAAAATAAATCCAACAGACTGGCTGTACTCGCTGGATTAACTTCAGTACAACCAGCCTGCTCATAGATGGATCAATTCATCGATCCATCTATGGCCAGCTTTAGAGTCAGCAAATATGTATGAGCTCATAGTCATTGATTATACATTAATGAGAAGCATTCGGTTAAACCTCTCCATTTTCTTAAGCAGCATAGATAACACATTAAATGTAAAAAGAAAACAAAAAGAAAAATTAGTGTGGTAGATAGCTGTGAAGGCAATTGGGATTGAAAATAAGGGGTGAAAATAAAAATGAAACATTAAGGATATAGGAGAAAGGGAGAGGGAAAAACACAATACTCTATTATGTAGAATCCTCAGACAATAGCCAAAGTGTCCGTCCAAGCTGTCTCTGATAACAGCTGTGAGTTGTTCCATGAGCCACATATCAGCAACTTTGGTATGCCACTGTTCTGTACTAGGCGGGTCTGCCTTTTTCTTGCTGTTTTTATTTATGTAGATGGGAGGTTTGGTTTGCGAAGGTGACCATAATTCCCGGTATTGTGGGGCACTAACACTTCACCCCAGACTGAAAGACTGGTGTCTTATCACTTTATATTAACTAAAGAAAAGGATAAGAAACCTACTTGTGGCGAATATAAAAATGTTTATTAATAGTGAAAAAGATAAAAAACATATCCAGTGTAAAAACCTGGGTACATGTTCCCAGATCCCCAGCCAAGAGGGTGATAATAGTATGGGGTATACTCAGTATATGGTCAATGGCAGTCCAGAAAAACCAACACTGAACAATTACAGCTCACTATACATGCACGGAGATGCAGCCCGCTACATGAGTGGGTGTTTCCTGACTTGCTAAAGCCGGGTATGCACTATCACCTTTCTTTTCTTTAAGTGGGTTGAATAAAAAAAAAAAAAAAAAAAAAAAAACGTTTGGGAGGAGCTATCCGATGTTAGTACAGAGATCTCCCCGCTGAGCTATTGTGTTGACAGGGGGACTGCCACTGACCGGGACTTCCTCAAGGCTTGCACAAAACATGTAGGTGTAAGGGCACCCCTTCTGTGTCTACTTTGTCTAGGGCAGGCATATTGGGATCCGATATGTCTAAGTTATTTGTCCAAGGAATTGTGAGATGCTGAAAATTCTGCTTTGTCACATAGACTGCCCGTTGCGTATGTAAAATAGAACTAGAATAAGATGCAAAGACCAGTGTTAAAGACAGTTCCTGCTCTCTCTGTGAGGATATTTCCCTGTAGGCAGCCTTAGAGTAGGGTACGGAATATTGGGTAAGCATGTCAAGAGGGAAAACGCAGTACCCGGTGTGTAAACTGTCCTGTAGCTAATCCTCGTGTTGAAAGGAAATGCCGGAGGACCTTATAAAAGGCGGAAGTGGCAGTAAAATGTGCGACTGGTAGTGTGATGTCACACTTAGTCACCAACCTTTGACTGAGCTCTAAATGGTTGCGTTTAAATGCGAAATTTGAAAAGTTTACACTGTAAACTACATTTCAATTCAAATGTCGTCCCAGTGATCTGACTACACACTTTGCACCAAGTAGTGAAGCGGGCACCCATGCAGTATCCAGTGTCTGAAGCAACAATACAGCCCATCTCCACAATGTGGGGCGTTGGGGACAAGGTTGTGCCAATCTGGATGTACAATTTCTAGCTGCGGCAATAGAACACACTGAGAAGCTGATTGAAGAATTAAAAGATAAAATAATAATCGAGTTAAACTAAGCGAGGTCCATCACCTTAGGACACTAGCAAAAAACTGAGGTCACAAGAAGTGGAGATAAAAGTTAGTTGAGGCAGTGTGGGCGTGTCCATAAAAAGCTTACCAGCATTCAATTACCTGAAAGTACGAGTCTATAACCCAGGGTCTATTAAAACTTTGCCTGTGACATGTACTGTTTACTGATGAATGCGGTTAGGTGGTTGCAAACCCAATTATTAAAAAAAAAATATTTTCCCATATACTAATAAATTTTAATGTAAACTCACATAAAGCTGTGAGCGTACCTCAGGAAAAATGCTCTCTTAGCTTGCCTCAGCCCTCCAAAAACTGGCCTGTTCTATACACACCCTCCAGCCTCGGCTCAAGAACGTGCATAGCTATCGGACATCTCTATGCCTGCGACCATGTCTCCTGAGTGCCTTCAGGGGAATACACAGGTGCCAGTGACTCTCAGCTCTGCTTACAGCACAGATGAGCAGGGTGCAACTTCTGGCACATCTTTACTGCTGTTTGGAGGTCTGGCAGAGAGATTGTCACCCATTCTGGGTACAGGTAACAGGCTGAGTTTGAGTTAACATTAACTGGCATAAGGAGGCTTTCCATTTACTTCTATAGAGCAGGTACCAGAGTGCACATCATAGTGTTTTCGTGTCCTATGAACTTGTAAAGGATTCTCCACAAGAATATATTTAAAACTAACTCAAGCAGACAACAGTAAAGGCCTGTGTTGACAGATTGTGGGCTTATGACAGCAATGCACCAGAGATCAGCATTAACTGACATGTGCATGCGAACTACAGTTGACCTGCTCCTGACCTACTTCAAATGGGTTTTACCATTTCTATAGCTTTTCATGGGAATGCAAACCTGTTTCAAGCAAACAAAATCCCATCAACACAGAACCACACAGAACAGCTTGCTAAAAATCCAAGCTTCTTCCTTCAGACTAGTATGGTAGATTCAGGCAGGGATCCAAACAGCACTAAAGTAAGAGTCTTGGCTTTATTATAGCTTAAGAAAACAGAGGACTTACAAGGGATCTCTAGTCCTAGGTGGACAGTTGCGTTCTTTACAGTGGGTGGAGAGTGACGTCCATCTGCCATGTCAACTTCTGCATACTGCGCCTCACCGTGAATCACTGCAAGTCCAAGACGCAGACGCTCTGCATAAGACTGTGCCCTGCCATTGTAAACAAAGCAATCAGTGTGTAGGAAGAGAGCATTTCACACAATAGGCTTAGATTTATTAAGCTTTTAAACAAGGATCTTTCATTTTCAGTCAAGTGACTAATTTTCACGTCTCATTTGCCTCATCTAAAACAAAACTAATTTTTTTGAACCTGTAGATACTTTAACCACTTGACCTCCGAAAGATTTACCCCTCTTCATGACCAGGCCATTATTTGCGATACAGCGCTGCGTTACTTTAACGGACAATTCCGCGGTCATGCAACTCTGTACATAATGAAATGTGTAATTTTTTCCTCATAAATAGAGCTCTCTTTTAGTGGTATTTGATCACCTCTGCGGTCCAAAATTTAAAATGAAAAAACAGACAAAAAAAAAAAAAAAAAAAAAAAAAAGTTTAATCTTTCTGCTATAAAACATATCCAATAAAAAAAATCTAATTTCTTCATAAAAACTTATACTGTGTAAAAGTTATAGCGTCTACAAATGGTGGTATATATACTGGAATTTTTATTTTATACTAGTAATGGCGGCAATAAGCAACTTATGGCGAGACTGCTTATATTGCGGCAGACAGTCTGACACGGACACTGTGGGAACCAACAACATTAAGACAGTGATCAGTGCCAATAATATACACGGTCATTGTATTAATGCCACTGGCTGGGAAGAGGTTAAACTTCTAGGGCAATCAAAGGGTGTGCATAGCCAGTGTTTTCATGTGTACTGTTTTTACTAGGCAATCTGCTAGATTTTATTCCCTAAATAAAATCTAACAGATCGCAGTTGACATAACACAGCTCTGCCTTGTTTACAAAGGCAGAGCTGTGTTCTGTCAGTCTTTTTGGAGATCAACAGCTGCTGGAGCTCATCCACTGGGCAGCACCTGTTGATCGGCTTCTGCTTTGTCCAATCACAGCAGAAGTGGTGCTCCAGTGGCAGGCGTGTGCCCATGGGCAGAAGTGCAAAATCACATTTATATTAGCGATTTTGCACAGACTGTCCACCCTGTAGCAGTAAATTTCTTACAGGGCGGATGACAAGTGGTTAAAGTACATGGATAGTTTCCAAGCCAGAACATACCTTTACCAATGACTGTGGCCTACAGCAATGTATAAAGCTAACAATCTAGTTCCAGACTTTCCAAGACCGTGATCCAACATACCAATAAACTTGAATGGGACATACCCATATAGCAGCAGCAACATGCCATTCAGGTAGATGGGACATTAGTTCCTGGATGCTGACAGCCTGATACTAGATATTTACCAGCCTCCAAATATCAAGGGAGGCCTCTGCCTTTAGAAAAGGTATGCAGTGAACTACTAGAGAGCCAAGTGACTTTCTTAAAATATATACATGCACTTTATGGCCAAGTTAACTTTTTTCCCCTAAAATCCAGCTCCCCTATGTACCAATATATCACTAATGTACCTTAGTCGCAGAAAAATAAAAGCTTTCTTTGATTTTCAGAACAAGGCCTTACCTTAGCACTTGTTGTGTTTCTTAGAAAGCTTCAGAGACTTCCTGGTATAGAGCCAGTAAGACATAGGAAGCAGTTCACCAGCTGACCTAATTAGCACACACACTGCACCCATCAACTAAGTTTGCATGGCATTCCTCAACATGTGCATTTGCCTGGCTTATCATTGTAAGCTGCTCAGAGCCCCTCCAGACTGGCCCAGGCCGCATGCTTAACTCCCAGGGCCGCGGCTTGGAGTTGGACATCCCTGATGTAGTGCAAGTGCCTGCCCATGTGTGTCACAGGAAAAAAGTGCCAAAAAATGTGCACTCCCACAACGCTAGGTGTGAATGGGGCCTGAACGTGAAATTGGTTTGTTTACACAGGAACAATGGGGTTGTATTCACATTCCGAACGCACGGCAAACCGCACAGAAGAGACGCAGTTTGTGTTTCAGAAATGCGCTGCAAATGCACTGAACGCACCATGCTTTGCGCTAAAAACGTTCTGGCACTTCTTTGGGCAATTGTTGCGCTTAGGGCAGCCCATTAAAGTGAATGGGTTGCTTTATGTATAACAAAATCGCACCCCACCACCGCATAAAAAATAACCCCCCCCCCCCCCCCAAAAAAAAAAAAAAAAAAAAAACATTCGGGAATGCGAGTTCCCGGTATACAAATGATACTTGACAGCTGAGTCTCTATCCACTTCCTCTTATGTACTTGTATAAAAACTGGCTATATACTATGAAATCTGATTGTACAATTTTCTTTAGATCTATGTCACCATTTTTCGAGGTGAATATACACTATATTGCCAAAAGTATTGGGACATCCTTCCAAATAATTGGATTCAGGTGTTCCAATCTCCTCCATGGCCACAGGTGTATAAAAGAAAGCACCTAGGCATGCAGACTGCTTCTACAAACATTTGTGAAAGAATGGGTCGCTCTCAGGAGCTCAGTGAATCCAAGCATGGTACAGTGATAGGTTGCCACCTGTGCAATAAGTCCATCTATGAAATTTCATTGCTACTAAATATTACATAGTCAACAGTTAATGGTAGCAAAGTGGAAGCAACTGGGAACAGCAGCAACTCAGCCATGAAGTGGTAAGCCACGTAAAATGACAGAGCGGGGTCAGCGCATGCTGAATCTCACAGAGCACAGAAGTCGCCAACTGTCTGTAGAGTCAATAGCTAAAGACCTCCAAAACTGTGTGGGCTTCAGATTAGCACAACAGTGCGTAGAGAGCTTCATGGAATGGGTTTCCATGGCTGAGTAGCTGCATCCAAACCTTACATCACCAAATGCAATGCAAAGCTTCGGATGCAGTGGTGTAAAGCACGCCACCACTGGACTCTAGAGCAGTGGAGAAGACTTCTCTGGAGTGACCAATCACACTTGTCTGACTGGAAATGGACATGTCTGGGTTTGGCGTTTGCCAAGAGAACAGTACTTGCCTGACTGCATTGTGCCAAGTGTAAAGTTTGGTGGACGTGGGATTATGGTGTGGGGTTGTTTTTCAGGGGTTGGGCTTGGCGCCTTAGTTCCAGTGAAAGGAACTCTTAAGATGTCAGCATACAAGATATTTTGGACAAATTTCATGCTTCCAACTTTGTGGGAACAGTTTATGGATGGCTCCATCCTGTTCCAATAAGACTGCGCACCAGTGAATAAAGAAGGGCCATAAAAGACATGGATGAGCTAGTTTGGGGTGGAGGAACTTGACTGGCCTTCACAGAGTCCTGACCTCAACTCGATATAACACCTTTGGGATGAATTAGAGCGGAGACTGTGAGCCAGGCCTTCTTGTTCAACATCGGTGCCTAACCTCACAAATGAGCTTCTGGAAGAATGGTCAAACATGCCCATAGACACACTCCTAAACCTTGTGGACAGCCTTCCCAGAAGAGTTGAAGCTGTTATAGCTGCAAAGGGTGGGCCAACTCAATATTGAACCCTACAGACTAAGACTGGGGTGCCACTAAAGTTCATGTGCATGTAAAGGCAGGCGTCCCAATACTTTTAGCAATATAGTGCATTTCTAAAGGTGTTACTGACATGAAAGGTTCACCACATGTCAGTAACAACCCATGCAATCCATACATACAAAGAAACCAAAACAAATAGGTTCAGAAATTAAGTTATGTGTAATAAAATGGAATGACAAAGGGAAAAAGCATTGAACACATGAAGAAAGGGAGGTGCAAAAAGGCATGGAAAGCCAAGACACTAGCTGAAATCTATAAGTAATTGGAAAGCAAGCCTGCCCCTTGTCAGTGCAAATGAATATCAGCTGGTTTAGTCTCAACTGATGCCCTATAAAAAGGTGTCTCATTACCAAGATGTTACACAAGAAACATGTCATGATGAGTAAAAGCAAAGAGCTCTCTTGAGACCTTCGCAACCTTATTGTTGCAAAACATACTGATGGCATTGGTTACAGAAGGATTTCTAAACTTCTGAAAGTTCCAGAGAGCACTGTTGGGGCCATAATCTGGAAGTGGAAAAAACATAATTTCACCATAAACCGGCCACGGCCAGGTGCTCCTCACAAGATTTCTGACAGAGGAGTGAAAAGAATTCTCAGAAGAGTTGTCCAAGAGCCAAGGACCACTTGTGGAGAGCTTCAGAAAGACCTGGAATTAGCAGAAACAATTGTTGAAAAAAAAAAAAAAAAAAAACAAACAACAATAAGTAATACACTGAATTGCCATGGCCTGTATGCACGCTCACCACGCAAGACTCCATTGCTGAAGAAAAAACATGTTGAAGCTTGTTTAAATTTTGCTGCACAACATTTAGACAAGCCTGTATAATACTGGGGAATATAGTCTAGACAGATGAGACCAAAATTGAACTCTTTGGATGCCATAATGCCTACCATGTTTGGAGGTCAAATGGCACTGCACATCACCCCAAAAACACCATACAAACAGTGAAGTTTGGAAGTGGGAACATCATGGTGTGGGGCTGTATTTTTTAGCATACGGTACTGGCAAACTTCATCTCACTAAAGGAAGGATAATAGAAAAATGAACCAAGACATCCTTGATAAAAATCTGCTGTCATCTACCAGGATGAAGAAGATGGACATTTCAGCAAGACAATGATCCCAAACACAAAGCCAAGGAAACTCTCAATTGGTTTCAAAGAAAGGAAATAAAGCTACTAGAATGGCCCAGCCAATCACCTGACTTTAATCCAATAGAAAATCTATGAAAAGATCTAAAGATCAGAGTTCATAGAAGAGGCCCACGGAACCTTCAGGATTTGAAGACTGTGCGTGTAAGAATGGGCAAATATCACACCTGAGCAATGCATACGACTAGTTTCTCCATACAGGAAGCACCTTGAATCTGTCATTACCAACAAAAGATTTACAATGTACGAACTAGTAAATACATTTCAGTTAGCGCGTTCAATACTTTTTCCCTGTGTCATTCCATTTTATTTATTACACATAATTTAATTTCTGAACCTATTCGTTTTGTTTTCTTTGTATGGATTGCATAGGTTATTACCGACATGTTGTGAAACTTTCATGTCAATAGCACCTTTAGAATATATTTACCGAGAAATATGGTGATGTGTTCAACACTTATTTTACTTGCTGTATGTAGTGCAACGGCTTGCCTTATTGGATACAATGTGACTGGATAGATAGGTGTGGTATATAAAAAGGGGAGGTAAGGGGTGCGTAAGATAATCAGAAATAATTTTTTTCTGCAAAAGATGTACATTAATGGTAAAATGGTATATATACGTGATTTTGCAGTTCCGGGTAGGGGGCACGTGCGTGCTCTACCCGCATTGCCATTCGCAGCCGTCAATCACCAGGTCGCCAGGTGACTGCTGAGGATCTCCGATGGGGAGGAGAACTGTTTTGTTTACAAACAGTTCTCCTCCCTGGCAGCTCGGCACACTGCTCTGGATGGCTGTGCACAGCACAGCCATACAAAGCAGTGTGCTTACTGTGAAGCACAAACACGGCCCCATAGTAACACATCCAGCACACAGTTAACCCTTTGATCACTCCAGATGTTAAGCCCTTCCTGCCAGTGCCATTAGAACAGTGTCAGTGCTTTTTTTGTTAGCACTGATCACTGTATAGGTGTCACTGGGAATGTCAGTGACACCAAGTCAGTTCCCCCCAGTGTCAGAATGCAGTTCTGCTATAAGTCACTGATCGCCGCCATTACTAGTAAAAATTATTTTTTTTAAATTCCAGTATATATACCGCCATTTGTAAACGCTATAACTTTCACATAAACCAATTTATACGTACTGGGATTTTGTTTTAGCAAAGACATGTAGCAGAATACATTTTGGCCTAAATTTATGACGAAATTTGTTTTAAATTTTTTTTACTGGACATATTTTCCACTTCCCACTCAGCCAACAGGAAAATGACGGCTGGGCTGGACTCATTCATCCGGGAGGGCATCATAGGATATCCTTCCCGGACAGCGCGTTGCGTGTGCCCACAGGGCCGCGCTGTGGTGAGAGCCGTCACCAGCTGTGTACCTCGGATACAGCTGAAGATAGATCTGTGCACCGGCCCCATTGCCAGTACCATGTGACCTGCTGTGACCAATCAGAACAGGTTACATGACAATTGTAAACAATGGATGGCTTCCTTTCATGCCATCCATTGTATTCATGCCATCCATTGTCTAGCTGTGAATGGTCACAATGATCACATGCACAGGCTGGGCCAATCACAGCCCATGTCATGTGATTAGCCGTGGCCAATCAGAGCTAATCACAACAAAAAAACCTGAATGAATCAATTTCATTCAGTTAAATGCTTGCTTATAGCAAATAAATTCTTTGCTATAAGCAAATTTTGTAAAAAATAAAAAATACTGAGCACTTTCCCAAAGTAGTACAATGTTACTATGGTAACATTATACGACTTTGGTCATAGCATAATATGAAAAAACAAAAATCTTTAAAAAAATGTAATTAATAGAATATTTTTTTTCGTACAGTCACCAGTCAGTGTCCCTGATCACCGCCACACCCAGTTATATGATGCAAAGCACAAACCTATGCTTAAGCAGCACCTCAAGCACATGAGCAGTTTTCCATTGCCAGTGGTATATGTCTCCTCTGTTTTTTAAATGCTGCTTGCCGTACCTTTGGTATGGATTCCAAAATGTGCATCTTTCAGAGGGCAGAATAGTACAACTAAAAGTGTACTTTACATGTGTTTCAGTGCCATAGTGATGAATACCAAACACTTTCATATAAAGCACATAGGGAAAATGCATATAAAATAGGTCCAAGATACACCACAATGCAAGAAAAATAGTAAAAAGACTGAATTACATACAGACTGAACTGTAACTACACCGCCAGTACCTGGTCTCTGAAGTGCAATTTGACCATGAAAGAAGCCATGTAACAGCAAAACTCTTTTCCCCACTTTTTGTAAACTTTTCTTTTTTTTTGCATAGAAAACATTGCAAACAGCATTATTTTGTAATCCACGATTCTCTGTGGAATTTTTTTTTTTCAATAAAGATTTTGCAGTGATAAGGTTTCTTTCACCATCAATTTACCAAAAAAAAGCCCCAAATTATTTATTTATTTATTTTTTAACACTGAGCACTGAATGCTCTTTGGTATACCTGACACAAACTGGAGCAATTTCAAGTAATGAAAGTATTGCATAAGAGGTTACATACAGTATGTCAGAACGTTCTGTAATTCAGTTTATAACTGAACTTATATGGACATTTTAACTTTCCCCGGGAAAAGTCCAGGTTGATTCTATCCTCATCCGCTGCTTCCTATTTGCCATCCATCAGGAGGTAGAAGAGGAGAAAGCTCTTCTATTACAGAAAAAATCCAAAATTTGCCTATATTGTCAGTTGCCTGCATCTTAAAATTCCAACATATGTTTTTGTAGAAAGTTCTGTGCTTAGTCATCTTATTTTCAGTTTGAATTTCCAGAACAGACAGATTTCAATACGTTCTATAAGAGGGCATGCTCTGCAAACCTGCCATGACTAACTCCCAGAACCCACCAGAATTCAGCAGCATCTACACAAATGGCATGCTGCATTGTCAGGCATAATCAAAAGTCTGGAGAACCAATTAACACTTCAAGACCGGACACTTTTACTCCCTTCCTGACCAGGGCAATTTTCAGCTTTCAGCGCTATCACACTTTGAATGACAATTACGCGGTCATGCAACGCTGTACCCAAATTAATTTTTTACCATTTTTTTTTTAAACAGATAAGGCTTTATTTGGTGGTATTTATTCACCACTGGGATTTTTATTTTTTTTTGCTATGTAAATGAAAAAGTCCAAAAATTTTTGAAAAAAAAATGTTTTTTTTTATAAAATTTTGCAAATAAATAATATTCATCATAAATCTTTGCCAAAATTTATTCCGTTATCTTTTTAGTAAAAAAAAAAAAAAAAACAAATTAGTTTATAACAAAAATTATAATTTTTAAACATTTTATTTTACATTTTGATTTTATTTTTTTATATTATTTTTTATTTTTATTTTTTTTTTTACATACTGTCACCCTAGCAGTACAGTGTCACCATGGTGACACTGTACTACTTGTGGGGGGTGATGAAGATTTTTTTTTTTTTTTTTTACACATTGCTTTTACACCCATATAGGATGTAAAAGCAATCATTTCTCTTTCTCTCTGTGTGCATTCATGCACTCATTGAGAAGTACTGACTGAGCTGTGATTGGTCACAGCTTGTCACATGGTACAAGCCTGTTGTGAAGAGGCTTGTACCATGTGACCTCTGTGATCATTCACAGATTTCACACATAGTAAGCAATGATGTCACAAGTGACATCTTGCTTACTACTTTGCATGTGATCACTGATTGGCCAATCAGTGATCACATGATCGGGACCTCGTACAGAGGTCCCGTCCGACGATCGGTGCACGTGTCCGGAGGACAAGCAGGATCGCGGTGCTGCGCGCACAGGGAGCGCGCACAAGCAGGGTGCGGGGAGGCCGTTTATAAACGGCCACCCAACCCTGCACTGCCACCGTCCGGCCGTTTATATACAACGGCCGGACGGGAGGTGGTTAAAGACCAGTAATGCCATGTGTCACTAGTGAAAAACAGCCTGAATTCTCATGAGTACAAAAATCAGACTGTCCATCTATTCTCCATTTATGGGGTAAGGATTCAGTGTAACCTTTAATAGGAATACAATAGATTGATGAGGCATTAACTGCACATCCAACCAAAACTTAGTTTTTTATTTTTTGACAGAGGGAGAAAGTCAGATACCCCTGCATGATTTTCCAAGGAAAGGAAGCAAAGGACAATCAGTAACCCCTGGTTCACATATGTGCAGCCCGCCATTTGCGTGGACATGAGAGCCCATTCACTTGAATTGACTCCCGTGCCCTGGGACATGCAGAGAAGTCCCTGCACTAACTGGGAAATCGCAGCTCGCACAGGAACCGAGGTTCCCAGTACGGTTGCGATTTCCAGTGCGGACGGCATGCCATTAGAATTAATGGCACCCGCCTGCGGGTCCTGCATTCCTGTGTGGGTGGTGCAGCTGCAGGTATTTGTGTGGGTCCCGCAATGGCACCACCCCCACAGATGAGAAGCTAACAGACACAAAAAAGATGCATTTTTTGTAACACATTCCAAAGCTAGAAATCAGTTTTATAGTGGTGTTGCAGATTTTCTCTCACTTCCTCTCTGATTAAACCATTGTCACTGTGACAGAAAGTGAGAGAAAAGCTCTCCAACGAAGTGCTGAAAAGCAGTAAAAACCAGTTTCCAATCCTTCCCTATACTATCCAAAATTAAAAGAAATAAAAGGTGTGGGGGCTGGAGATGAACCTTATCCTTGCTACTTAGGCAGGAAATGGGTCCCTTACACGTCTGACCAGTTGTACAATTTGTTACCTTTATCTGTGTAAACAGTTACCTTTTTGCTGCATCCGGAGATTTTGCAACTATTACTGCATTTCTGTAATCCTGAATCTGAAAAAGGAATAGAACAGAAGAAATGAGAAGAAGGCTGCATAACTGCAATTGTTATCAACACTAGATGGACTATAGAGGACAACACAAAAGTGACTGGATGTCGTGGTTTCCCACCTCTTCCTGTATGTACTGTAGCAGGAAAGGGGAAGCTCGGAGGTTGTCCACAGGAAAATTAAAGAATCCCTGGATCTCTTTTTGATGCAGGTCCATTGTAATGAAGTGAGTCAACCCTGGACAGAAAAGAAAAAAAAAAACAAAAAAAACAACAGAATGATACTCTCCACAAAAAAAAAAAAAAAAATATACTTTCAGGTATGTTTGAGTGTGCCTGAAACTCATAGCTAAAGACCTACTGTGCTGCTTCTAACGGCTAGTCTCAGGGAATTTGGGGTGGGATTCAGTGATGTCACTACTGTGCTGCTCACACATCTTACCAGATTCTGACAATAAAATGACCTCTATCAAGATGGCAACCTCCACAAAGACACAATGCAGAACAAGACAGGGTAAGTGAGCAACATCAGCTGCACAAAAAACCACAGGTAATGCTGCTGACTAGTACTTTGCCCTTTGTCTGCCTTATTTTGAGAACGGCCCCAGAGTTCTGTTTTTTTTTTGTTTTTTGTTTTTTTTAAGTAGTTGTGAAGGCTGAAGGTTTTTTTTTTTTATCTTCATGACTCCATGTATGAAGGTAAAAAACCTGTGTGCAGAGGCCCCCCAATACCCACTTGAGCCGCCTCTCGTTTCAGTGCAGTGCACGAGAGCAGATCGTCTTCCATTTCTCTATTTCTAATTGGCTGAGAACCTCACAGCTAGTGAGCCAATGGGGAGAGATCGGGGGTGGGGCCAAGGTGCGGCTCTGTGTTTTATGGACGCAGAGAGCAGGGCTCAGGAGTGAGTACACACCAGTACCCCCAGAGCTTGCTATGGGGGCACTGGCTGAAGAAGAGCCAGGAGCACTGATAGGGGACCCAAAAAGAGGAGGATCAGAGTTGCTCTGTGCATAACCTCTATACAGAACAAGACGTTATTTTCAAAGAAAACCTTTCGAGTACAAGTGGTACAGGATGGAAATAAAATATTAAACCCTTTAAGCACGTTCCGCAGATGGTTTAATCACTTATGGAGTATGCAGCTCATTTTTAATGCTTACAGCTCCCCAAGGTTTTGTTTCAGGGTGGCCCCTTCTCCTGCAGCATCCTACGTAGTCACCTTTGCATGCAGGGACTAGAGTGATGTCTCCCTATGCTGTGTGCATCAATAGAAACACAGCCCCGTAGCCTATGATAAGGCACACCCTCTGCCCCACTCTTCTCTAAGCTAACGTACTGTCTTAGAGACTGCTCTGTCCAGTTGTAAACTGAAAGTTCTGGGATAAGAATTTTAAACAATAATTCACTGGGCAAGGTTTATTTTATTGTGCTAAACGTGTTTAGCCCAAACAGGCTAATGCTGAGGGTTTAATGGTTCTTTAAATGAGAGACTGTCACTATATCCAAATGTAAAAAAGTGACTCAAATGAAGAAACATTTCCTAGGTCACACACAAGTTTAGTACCTGTTCATATTCCTAACTGTACCCACCATGTGCATGTACTTCTGTGCTTGCAGCTAGTAGGCTGTTCAGGTTTCCACCACAGAAGCAACCATCAAAAACAAATGTCAAATCACTGAAACCTGGGGACTGCTGGAGAGGAACAGAATTTTACAGGTACAATTGGCGGTACAACCAGCTGTCAATCAGATTATATGATATGATTTTGCATTTAGTGGCATGTACCACAGAAGACGTTTTCCTAAAGAATATCATGTACACATCGTGTTGGAGAGGTGATAATCACAGAATTGTTCCAACTCGAAACAGAACTAAATTGATAATGTACACAATTAAGTGCAAACTATATTTCATGCATGATCATACCAGCATTGGACAGCATGGAAGCCAGCAGTTTGCAAACAATGGACCCCCTCTTGCGCATTTTGCACTGTTTGCTGTAGGGAAAATAGGGAATAACCCCAATGATGTTCTTGGCGCATGAGGTCTTCAGTGCGTAAGTCATGATCAATAACTCCATGACTGCTGTGTTCACATCTCTAGAAAAAAAAAACAAAAAACACACCTTATTTAGAAGCTCAAAATACAAATACAATTTTTAAATAAAGATTTATATCCTGCGCTGAGGACTGCAATGCTCTAATTCCAAAGAAATATTGTACAAAATACCCCACAAAAATGTGAATAATGGCTGCAGCTTTTACAAAGGGCCCTGACCCTCTAAAACCGTGCTTCTCAATCTTTTTCAGTCAAGGCACCCTTTAAAATTATGGAGTCCCGAGGCACCCTATAAAATTATGGACAGTCTTGCGGCACCCCCCATTCTAAAATGGGGTGCCTCAAGACTTTCCATAATTTTAAAAGGGCACGCCATTCTAAAATGTGAAAAACTATTTGAATAGTTTTATATGACGCAGCAAAATCCACACATGTAGGACACCCAACATTGGAGGTGATTTTTCTTCCAAAGCAAATACACTTTTGCACACTGGTAATGACTAATATTCCAGTGTTTCTCTTCTCCCTCAGTTTTTATCCATCACTGAGCTAATGTAACCCCATCACTGATGGAGAGGGGCAGGGGAGGGGCAAACTAGGATGCTGTGCAGGCAGTTGACATCCTCCTTATCAACTCATGAAGTCAATGGTTGTCAGGATGCCGGTGGCTAAAAGGTCCTAATGATGCACAAGGAAAACCTGTGGCTTTGTGTATCTAAAAGGCAGGCTTGCATACAAGTTTTGAGCAATTTTTAGACATTTTGTCAAGGCACCCCTGAAAAAACCTCACAACATCCTGGTTGAGAAAGACTGCTCTAAAATATTCAAATACAAGTAGATAAGCGCTGTCTTATTAACTATACAAAAACATAAATGCAACACAATGTGTAAGCAAACATCACTATAAAAAATCCATCATTGGTAGTGCATCAATATTTGTGCCAATGTGCTGATCTTCAAACAATTGGTGGGAAATTGACACGCTGTGCTCCCCACACCAGTGGTCCCACTCACTCACCGACTCCAGTGGAGTCTAAAGTGCTTGGTAGGAAATTCCAACTCAGCTAGGGCTTGTAGTACTCGATACGGATGGTCTCCGCATATACAAGGATGTTTCAGTTTGCACAATCACAGGTCATGGATGCTCATGTATAGGAAATAAAGGATGGGGGGCAATATAGCAAAAAACCAACAGCATAAGTTTCATGCACCTAAAAGGAAAAAATCCACCAGGTGCAAGCAGTGGTGATAGTCCTATCTGGCCAGTGGAGCACAATGCAGTGTGTCACTTCCAGTCTGGCGTTTTATGCTTTGATTTTTTCCTTTTATGTGAGTGAAACTTACACGGTTCGTTTTTTTATCTAATAAATGGAATTACATTAAAAAAGGTCTCCATCCTTTATTTTTTATACAAGAGCATCCATGACTTGTGATTGTGCAAACCGGAACATCCTGGTATATGCAGAGACCGCACGAATCGAGGACTACAAGCCCCAGCAGAGACGAAATTTCCCAACTAAGCTCTTTAGATGCATATTAATCTAAGAGTCCACTGGAGTTGGTGAATGGGACTACTAGTAGGGAGCACAGTGTGTGAATTTGCCACCAATTGTTTGAAGATCAGCACACTGGCACAAATATTGATGCACTACAAATGATGGACTTTTAATAGTAGTGTTTGCTTACACATTGTGTTACACTTATGCTTTTGTATAGGTATTATATCGATTTGTATTTGAACATTTTTTTAACACACACACATTTATTTTATTGTAAAGCGCTGAGCAAACTGTTGGCGCTATATAAGTCCTGTATAATAACAACACACACCAGGAAAAGATAAGTATTGAACACGTCACCATTTTTCTCAGTAAATATATTTCTAAAAGTGCTATTGACATTAAATTTTCACCACATGTCGGTAACAAACCATGCAGTCCATACATACAAAGAAACAAAAACAAATAAGTTCAGAAATTAAGTTTTGTGTAATAAAATAGAACACAGGGAAAAAGTATTGAACACGGCACAAAAAGGCATGGAAAGCCAGGACACCAGCTGAAATCAGTAATTAGAATGCAGTCCTGCCCCTTGTCTGTGCCAATTGATATCAGCAGGTTGAGTCTCAACTGATGGCCTATAAAAAAAAAAAAAAAGTGTTGCATTAACAAGGCGTCACCCAAAAAACATCTCATGATGGGTAAAAGCAATGCGCTCTCAAGACCTTTGCAACCTTATTGTTGCAAAACATACTGATATCAGTGGTTAGAGGAGGATTTCTAAAAACTTCTGAGCACTGTTGGGGCCATAATCCGGAAGTAGAAAGAACATCCTTTCACCATAAACCAGCCACAAGCAGGTGCACCTCGCAAGATTTCTGGCAAAGGAGTGAAAAGAATTATCAGAAGAGTTATCTAAGAGCCAAGGGTCACTTATAGAGAGCTTCAGAAAGACCTGGAATTAACAGGTACAATTGTTTCAAAGAAAGTAATACACTCAATTGCCATGGCCTGCATGCATGCTCACCATGCAAGACTCCATTGCTGAAGAAAAAACATGCTGAAGCTTGTTTAAAGTTTGCTGCACAACATTTAGACAGGCCTGTGAAATACTGGAAGAATATAGTCTGGTCAGATGAGCCCAAAATTTAATTATTTGGATGCCATAATACACACCATGTTTGGAGGTCAAATGGCACTGCACACCACTCCAAAAACATTATACCAAAAGTAAAGTTTGGAGGTGGGAACATCATGGTGTGGGGCTGTTTTGTTAGCTTACAGTACTGGCAAAATTCATCTCACTGAAGGAAGGATGAATGGAAAAATGAACCAAGACATTCTTGATAAAAAACTGCTGCCATCTACCAGTATGATGAAGATGATATGAAGGTGGACATTTCAGCAAGACAATGATCCCAAACATAAAGCCAAGGAAACTCTGCATTGGGTTCAAAGTAAGAAAATAAAGCTGCTAGAATGGCCCAGCCAATTACCTGACTTTAATCCAATAGAAAATCTATGGAAAGAGCTAAAGATCAGAGTTCATAGAAGAGGCCCACGGAACCTTCAAGATTTGAAGACTGTGGAAGAATGGGCCAAAGTCACACCTGAGCAATGCATGCAGCAAGTTTCTCCATACAGGAAGCATCTTGAATCTGTCATTGCCAACAAAAGATTTTATACGAAGTATTAACTAAATTCCAGTTAGCGTGTTTAATGCTTTTTCCCTATGTCATTCCATTTTATTACACAACTTAATTTCTGAACTACTTTTTAGGGTTTCTTTCTATGTATGGATTACATGGCTTGTTACTGACATGTGGTGAAAATTTCATGTCAATAGCACCTTTTAGAAATATATTTACAGAGGAAACTGGTAATGTGTCCAATACTTCTTTTACTGTGTGTGTATATCACACATACACTGCAATAATCTGCAAGAGTGGAATGCAGGATATCTGCACAACTGCCACAAAAATATTGTGACCCTGAAAGCTATATTATATAAAACATGCACTGGGCTGAGATAATAAAAAGATAGCTCTAATCCTTGTTCACCGACAGTAGAAGGGAAAGAAAGCAGGCTAATGTTGGGAGTGTCATGTGTTTGCAATTTTCTTCCCATAAAAAAATGGCTTTACATTTCAGGAATATCGCTAAGCAGTTGTTCAAAAGTTAATTAATAAACAGACTACAAACAGACTAGAACAAAAAAAACAGCATGCAGTTACATACATACAAAAAAAAAAAAAAAAAAACTCCAGGCAATTTTTGTGGACATAGAGAATTCTCTCACATCACGTCCCTGCACAACAGAAAAAAAAAAAAAAAAAAAAAGGAGGACATCACCAGGGCAGGAAGGCATGGACAGCAATAGAAAAATTATTAGAAGCTGGCTACAAATTTGCTCTGGACTGAAATATTGGCTGAACAGATGCAGTCAATGTTCAAGCAGAAACTGAAGGCAAAACATTTTTCATTTTGGAGTAAGGGAGGGTTATAACTTCTCTTTTTGCCATCTGTGTCCCATTGAAGAGATTTAACTTCTATTCCTTTCCCATAGACAAAACAGAAAGTGTGAAAAATCCCTACAAATTAACCTCCCTAGCGGTCTGATTATGTCCATATTTCTGTGCTGAAAGCGGTACATTTTTTTGCATGGAAATATGTAGTTTTTTTATTGCAGGCCTGTAATTTTTAGGAATAACTCATTGAAATCTGTCGGAACAAGAGTCTAGTAAACATCCCGGGGATGTTAATATTTGAAACACGAAATCATAAATAATATAATAATCATGAAAAATAACAATAATACATTTAATTCAATATAATTAAACCAAAAACACTGAAATTTGAAATATAGCGCCAAGTTCGCACCTCACTGAGTTTAGTCGCAAAATCGTTTTCAGTGTCTGATGACAAATTTCCCCACAAATCATCACTCAATTCTGCAAGTGGTTCTGATTTACTATCGCTGTTCTCTAGTTGGTCTAATGCAGGCCATAGATGGGTCGAAAATCGGCCGATTTTTCGGCCGAAAATAAAATCGGCCGATTTTTCGGCCGAAAATAAAATCGGCCGATTTTCGGATTGTTAGTGGGCGATTTGGTCGGCCGTTTTTCGGTATTTTGGCCGTTTTTTTTTTTCGGTAAAGTTGGAAAAAAATCGGCCGATTTTGCCGATCGGACGATTTTCGCGGCAATTAGTGGGCAAATCGGCTGATTTTTTACCGATAAAAAATCTGCGCATGAGCAGTGACCTGCAAGAGGAAGAAGAAGAAGGAAGAAGAGGAAGAAGAAGAAGAAGAAGAAGAAGAAGAGAGAAGAAGAGGAAGAAGAAGAAGAAGAAGAAGAGAAGAAGAAGAAGAAGAAGAAGAGAAGAAGAAGAGGAAGAAGAAGAAGAAGAAGAAGAAGAAGAAGAAGAAGAAGAGGAGAAGAAGAGAAGAAGAAGAAGAAGAAGGAAGAAGAAGAAGAAGAAGAAGAAGAAGAAGAAGAAGAAGAAGAAAGAAGAAGAGGAAGAAGAAGAAGAAGAAGAAGAAG